GCAACTCTGTTTACATGAGCAACTAGGTGTAAGGTAAATTATTTTTGCAGGTTGCAATATTGTGTAGAAACAGTTAAATTAAATGTTGTGCTTTTGGTTGATGCTGAGTTAGTCTGCTGCCTAAAATAAAATAAAATGGTATAATATAGGTAGTGACTGGTTATTTTACTAAGCAGTTGTCTGTTTGCTTTATATATAATGAGAGGCAGCTACTTTGGGCCAGTTCATAACATTTCAGAGTAGTTCTAGCAGTATCCAGTCATGGGGGAGGGAAGATTTTCCTTAAGACCGTTGTGTATAAATTAAAGTTACCAGATTTTTTTCAATGAATCTGGGGACACTTTTCAACTTCAATGGCTTTTGTATGGGGACTGATTTGTAAATCCAGGGACTGTCCCCGGGAAACGGGTACGTCTGGTAACCTTAGTATAAATGGCCTCTCCCTGCTACTGCATTCTTGATCATGCTGGCCTCCACCGCAGTTCAGGATGGGAGGACTATTGAGAAGGAAATGGCTGCAGCAAGGCACACAGGCCATACCTGAGCAGAATAGTAGTGTCATAGCCAATGTACACCTGGGAAACTGTGCGTTTACTGCACTGAGTTATAAACAGTTACAGATAGGTAGCCGTGTTGGTCTGCCATAGTCAAAACAAAAAAAATTCCTTCCAGTAGCACCTTAAAGACCAACTAAGTTAGTTCTTGGTATGAGCTTTCGTGTGCATGCACACGAAACACATTAAGACACATGAAGAAGTGTGCATGCACACGAAAGCTCATACCAAGAACTAACTTAGTTGGTCTTTAAGGTGCTACTGGAAAGAATTTTTTTTGTTTTGAGTTATAAACAGTTGGATTTCCTGAGCTTAGGGAGGAGGGGAGCAGAAACTGAACAGGCAAGTGTCTCGTAAGTGTAAGTGAACAAAAGTGTGTTGTTCCATAGTGTGTGTGTGTACCCAATGTGGAAGCACTCTTTGAGAGGACCAGTTTTGTGATAAAAGATTGTGATTTAGCATCACCTGAACTAAGGCCTGTTCATAAGGTAAAGGTAAAGGGACCCCTGACCGTTAGGTCCAGTTTTGGACGACTCTGGGGTTGCGGCGGTCATCTTGCTTTACTGGCCGAGGGAGCCGGCGTACAGCTTCCGGGTCATGTGGCCAGCATGACTAAGCCGCTTCTGACGAAACCAGAGCAGCGCACAGAAACGCCGTTTACCTTCCCGCCGGAGCGGTACCTATTTATCTACTTGCACTTTGATGTGCTTTTGAACTGCTAGGTTGGCAGGAGCAGGGACCGAGCAACGGGAGCTCACCCCGTCATGGGGTTTGAACCGCCAACCTTCTGATCGGCAAGCCCTAGGCTCAGTGGTTTAGACCACAGCGCCACCCACGTCCTGTTCATAGGTCCCTATAAAATCTGTGCTGTGATTCCTACTTGCCACAATAAAACTACCCAATTTTTACGTGGTCTCCTTAGAAGAACAAAATAATACATCTCCTTAATCAGACAAAGGGCCTATCTAGCCTAGGATCCAGTTTAAAGTGGCCACGCAGAAGCTCACAAGAGAGCCTAAAGGCAAGACCCCTCCCCACCATTTACTCAGGAAATAGTTGCAGTCATTGAACAAGAGGACAGATTCTTTCCCTCTCCACACCATACATAATTAAACCTCTATCGTCCTTTCTGTTGGGTTCTTGTCTTTTTTTCTAGCGTAAAAAGCTTCAAACCTTTTAACCTTTTCTCATATAGCAAGTGCTCCCAACCACCTAGATAATTTTGCCTGCCTTTTTCTGCAGTGTTTGGTTCTCCAGTATTACCTAACACAATATTCAATATGAGGCTAGATCATGTATTTACATAAGAACATTATTACATTGGCCATTTTTATTTTTATAATCGTTCAGTCCTTCTCCTAATAATTCCCAGCATGGAAATTTGCCATGTTCACTGATTAAACATAATGAGTTGACATTTTTCATTGAGTTATTCACAGTGATTCCATGCTCCTTTTCCTGACTGGTTACTGTCAGCTTGCATATGTACTGATAGGGTAAAATATCCTAGTTTCAGAGCTTATCATTTTATACCTGCATATATTTTACTCTTTTGTTGTGCTTTCCCAATTTGGAAAGGTTCCTTTGGAGTTATCTTGTCTGCTTGGGTTTTTTTTTACCATCCTGAATCATGTTTGTCTCATACACAGATATGGGTGCTTACCTGCTCACCTCAAGCTTCAGATATTTCTAAAATAAATATCATCCCTGCCAATACAGATCCTTGTGGAACCTGAATACTTACCTCTTTCCACTGTAATAGTCTGTTGATTCTTTCCTTTCAACCTCCTGTTCTTTAAACACTTACAATCCATTAGAGAACCAATCTTCATATTCAGTGACTCCTAAGAGCTTTTGGTGATGGGTTTTGTCAAAAGCCTTTTGGAAGTCCAAGTATTCAGTGTCTTAATGTGTTTGTTGACCTGAACCTCTAAAACAGGCATAGGCAAACTCCGGCCCTCTAGATGTTTGGGACTACAATTCCCATCATCCCTAGCTAACAAGACCAGTGGTCAGGGATGATGGGAACTGTAGTCCCAAACAACTGGAGGGCCGGAGTTTGCCTATGCCTGTTCTAAAAGGTTGATGAGGCAGGATTCCTCATTGAGGAAGCGCTTCCCATTGGCTCTGTACTTTGTTTTCCCATATGCTTAATAATGCTTTCTATCAATTTACCATGGATAGACAGTAGTTCAACAGGCCTATAATTTTCCTGTTTCCTTTGAACCGTTTTTTCAATGTTGATTTTACATTGGCTACCTTCTGATCATCCAGTACAGAAATATGTAAGAAGTTACACATCTTTGTCAAAAGATGAACAATTTCACATTTGAGTTCCTAAGGAAGTCTCAGGTAGGAAGAAGTGACGTCCTCTGCCAGATGTGCAGGGCATGGAAGGCTTCCCTGGCCCAGCAGTGAACTGCACTGGCCCACAACTGGCACCTCTTGTGAAAGCTGAGCAATATATTCCACTAGATTCCTCCTACTAACATTGTTTTCCCAATAACGTATTTATATGGGTAAACTTACTGAACACGTGGACAATAACTGGACATACCAGCAATACGTCATATGTCCTTTATGTTAGAATTCCTGCTCCGTGATTGCAGTCATAGGATTGTTGTCTGTCACATGACGGTGTATGTTTTGACTCCACAAAGTGGGAAGTGATGGAGACAGGATGTTTGTGTTACTGTGTTCCGTGAAGTGGGACTATTGTCCTTTTTCTCTTTGTTGTCTGATGCTAGAGAGAGAGGGAGCCATGTTGCAGTGCTCCGTGTGTGTTTATATGTAAATAAAGTAGATTAGCCAAAATGCTGAGTTGCTGAGGTCAGTTACGCAAGCTGCAGATCCCTAAGTGTGCCAATGTCTGTTGGCATCAGTCACTGTGATTTTCGGGCGGAAGAAAGCTTTTGAAACTCCTGAACGATCGACCAGGAGGGAGGGAACATGCCAGTCAGGTGTGTGTCTCTACTAGGGTCCTACTCGAGTGTAGGATGAGCTCCTGACACTTTATAGTGGAGTATAATGCCACCATTGCCTTTGGTTTTAAAAGATATACTTTAAAATTGTAATATTAAACTGTTCCTTTTTAGTGGCTTATAATCAGTTGTGCACAGTTTATTTCAAGGGATGAGGTCCGTTTAAATATTAATCTCCTTATTTTTTTCCATCTGGCTCAGCTGTTAATCTTGCACGTAATTTATGGATAATAACCAAAAACAAGGTGAAAGAAAAGGAGCTGGTCTCCATGTGGTGGTAATGTCATTTCCACCACTGATACTGGATGACTGCATATTACACGCACTTGCAAAGAACAGCCCTCACCTTTTTACAGACTCAAACCCTCAAATAAATAGGGACAGAAAAGTCACAATTGCTAACAGTACTTGGAATCTATCCCTTTCTGAAAAGTAGTAAGCATACTCAATTGGTTAGTAGCTTTGAAGTTTATTTTTGTCAGATCTATGTAAAAACTAGTAAATTTTGTTGCTGTTTGGTGTAAGATGCGTGTTTGGTTTTATTGTTCATCTGAAGTTAGGGATGTATATAAGAGTGTGTGAGTGCGTAGAGATGTGCACAAACACACAAAATATATGCTATTTTGACTGATGAGCAACCCTGCCTTAATTATCATTGCTAAAACTTAATTTCCAATGCAATAGTGTCTTAATTCCTTCCTGTCTGCAATTGGTAATTGTAGGGATATTTTCCTTATCTGTCTACTTATTGAGAGGAAAATTGCACCGCTGTCCAATGATGACTTATCCATCAAATTGGGCTTTTCTGTCTCTCCAGATCCAGAATTGGCCAGCCCTCCTCAGACCACTTTATAACAGCTGTATGGGGCCACCCATCTGTCAATTGCTTGATGTCATATGATATCAGGCACAGGAAAGATGGTTGTGGTTCACTCAAAATTCCAGAGGTTCGCCACCACTAGTTTAAACCATAGTTAAAAATGAACTATTAACGTGAACAAGCAGTGTGCTGGTGTACACTTTCCAAGCAAAACACAAGTTGGAGACAAACCATTAAACTTAGATCATTAGCATGATTTATATTGCTAGTCCAGCTTCATCAGAATTTAGCAACAATATTCATGATCCAGCTGATGTTTCCCCTATCCGTCTGCTTCTGTTTCAAAGGGAAGCTTTCAGCATGCTTAATTATGTAATTAAAACCATGGGAAAATCTGTACTACTTAATTTTGACGGGATTTTATTCTGTGTGTTCAGCTTATTTACCTTTTATTTTCAGCAATTGTGCAGATGTTCTCTGTGCAGCAAAACTTTCTCAGTTTTAATGTTAGCAAGAGTTACCAAAAGTTGTTGATATCCAAGGTACAAACTTGCCCTATGGGCCAGTCTGATTGCTTCCATTGGCTAATGGATGTTTTGCTGTGAAAAGGCTGGGCTTATTCTTGTGATTTTTCATTTCTTTCAGTTACTGTAATGGGTGCATGCTGGATCCAATTTGTGGCTTTTGCTACAAACTAAACAAGTCAAGTGTTGTGGAGTCCTCCTGTGTCCCTGTCGATAGGAAGTCTACAATGGAAGCAGCCTGGGGCAGGTACGTTGCTTTTGTGTTGCTTAATTTCATATTAAAGGTCAAGGTCAAGGTACCCCTGCCGGTACAGGCCAGTCTTGACAGACTCTAGGGTTGTGCGCCCATCTCACTCAAGAGGCCGGGGGCCAGCGCTGTCCGGAGACACTTCCGGGTCACGTGGCCAGCGTGACAAAGCTACTCTGGCGAGCCAGCGCAGCACACGGAAACGCCGTTTACCTTCCCGCTGGTGTGGTACCTATTTATCTACTTGCACTTTGATGTGCTTTCGAACTGCTAGGTTGGCAGGCGCTGGGACCGAGCAACAGGAGCGCACCCTGCCGCGGGGATTCGAACCGCCGACCTTTTGATCGGCAAGCCCTAGGCACTGAGGCTTTTACCCACAGTGCCACCCGCGTCCCTAATTTCATATTAAAAGGACCTTAATATCCTTTTATAAGAAGTGCCACTGTTACACTTGTCCTCAAACTGGTATTTTGTCATTATAATAATAATGTGCACCAGAGGTTTCCTCTTGTCAAAAACCCTCTCATTTTGCTTCCATTTCCCCCCTTTCTCGGAAAATAAAAACGCTGTAGGATGGAATCGTTTGTGAGCGCTGACTTAAAGGTCACATCACACTTTCTTTTTGAACATCAATGGCAAAGACAAAAACAAACCTTAATAACCCTTGTGCCAAGACCCAATGCTGACTCTGGCAGTGGAGGGACTTAGTGCACATCAAATTGATGAGGTGGCAGGAAGCACAAATAATTAAAGATGACACAATGTTGCAACAGTAAATATTGCACCATGCACCCTGATCTCTGAGCAGCTTTCAGGGGTTCCGGCAATTGCCTTGGTTTTTGGTTTCTGGAGACTGGTAGGGTTTGACTGTGATCAAAGGTTTATTTTACACATATGTTCAGGCTTAGCATTAGATGGAAGGCTCACAGCTGTATCACTCAAACAGATTGCATTCGCCTATTTGTTGTTTTTGGGGGTGGGGGTACCAAACCCATAGCTTTATTTTCTCCTAGAGAGCAAGCCACGCCTCTGCATCTGTCCAGCCCAGTTTCTAGTTTTCCAGGCCCTTTTGTTCACTTGCACTCCATGACATTTCCATGACATCACATCCAGCCAGAAGAGGGAGAAGAAAGACATGCCCCCATCTAGAAGGATGCCCAACCATTAGCTCCTATGGCAACAGAGTACCTGTACTAATCAATCGCTTTAGTTATGCAGAAGCCCATTATTGTTTGACAAAGAAGTGACAGTAATGATACTTTGAGACAAGTTTTACTGAAACATAATTCAGGATGACGTATTTCACTACTTTGGCTGGCATCTACCAGAATATATTTCTGTGTCTGGTAAAATTTTCTAAAATACGTTGTGCTATTGGCTACCCCACTTCCAGTTAATATGGAGGTGGCTGGCAAGGAATTTAAACAATCTCTGTCCTTAAGTCCAGTTTCTAACTCTAGAAACTCATTCTGAATTTGGAAACTATATAAGGGAAGTATCCTATTTGACTCCAGTATGGTTAACTGGTTTGTAATTGGTGACTTCCTGTCAACAAGTAATCCTTGCAAATTCTGAACACCCTTAAATGTTCTTTTGCAGAAATTAAGAGGCAAGCCCATTTCCTTCTGTCGTATAAACCGAACAAAATACTTTTAAAGACTTTTCTGTTGTACAGACTGTTGTTCGTGAGCCATTTTATTCCCATTTTTTATTCCCAGGTAGAGGGGCATAGAAAGTGATAGTAGGGAGAAAGGCCAAAGGAAATAGATAGTGGTGAATTCAAGAACATGCTACTCACCGGATTTCAATGAGCCAAAAGGCAGCCAGTGTGTGCGTTCACAAAGTAGCCATCCCTGATGCTACCTTCTAATGTGCCATATCCCTTCATGCTTCTTTAATATGTCCCACTGTAGTGGTTCTAGGGGTTGCTCGTGCGTAAGCCGGTGCAAACACCTGGCTGGGTTGCCTGAGTGAACCTTTTCTGTCTGGACAACCACTCACCCGTGGCTGTCTCAATCGCTGGCAGAATCCGTCAGTGGGCGTTTCTTAAACTTCTTCCAGCAAAGAAGCTCTTTGACGCCTAGTCTCCTCCTACTCTCTCTGGGCGAAAGCCTTCTGCGCAAGGAGGGCGTAGGCAGCGGAGGACCTCTACTCTCCCCGCTGGTCCCCGGCAAGGAGTCATGGGACCGCCTCGCCGCTTCCCCCATCTGCCCCCCTTCTCCACTGGTGCTACGCTGATTCTCTTCCCCAGAAGATGGGCTGCCTCTCCCACTCCCGGGACGCTCTCTGGAATTCCTCTGGATTTTGCTCTCTCCCTCCGGCACTGATGGCAGTTCCCTGACACCCACCAACCCAAAACTTGTGATTTATGGTTATAACACACACACACACACACTGCTTTTCATTCAGATACCTCTTGAAAAGCAAATACCAACTCATAACAATGTGAAAGATTACACACTATTTTGTGACATCCGTGTCCCATTGACCTGCTGAAATTTCACTGCTTTTTATTATTTTCATGCGATGCATCAAACTGCATAGCTGTCAGAATGACTGACTTAAACTGTGCTTGAGAAGGTGGAATTATCACTTGGGTTCATACAAATCTAGTCACAGTTGTCAGAAGTAATGGGCTGTTTGTTAATGAGTGTCACACTCTTTTCACACCATTAGTGCTTTTTTTAAAATATGTCCACATCAGTGTTTATAAAAGTTCCTGATTTGGTGCCAGTAGAAGTTCAGTCTTACATCAATTGCAGCAATGTATAATACCTCTCAGTTTTAGGGGGATTTTAGAATATGGCCCCTCTCAATGTGTATTGTTGCATGCCATCCCAATCTCTGAGCGGTTCGAGATTCCAGGGTTTCCAGGCGCTTATTTACCCAGGGTTTGGTTTCCTTGGCATGAGGGACATCGGAGACTGTGGTGTCTTAATGATATATGGTTTATTTACACATAAATGCAACCTGAGCCTATGATGGAGGAGCTCGCAGCATTAACACTGCAGAAGGTCTTGCTTCTCCCATAGCCACAGTCTTTGATTCAAGCAGAAATCAACCATGGCTCTCACTCTCAGGCTCCTGCCTGCAGCCTGCTTCCAGTCCAGCTGAAACACACACCACACTTTTGTCTTTTTCACTACCAGCCAAGTGAGGGAAAGGGCCCACCCATTTGCTCTCTGGCACAGTGCAACTTTTTTTCTTAAACTAGTGACCAGTACAGCCAATGGGATCCTCCATTAGGTTTTAACCCTTGCTGGATCCAGGCATTAGAAAGGGCTTAGGCATCATAACAACCTAACCTCCCCACCCCAACGCAGAACGGTATTCTCTTTAGTCTTCCACTCCTTTCCCCCCCTTTCCTCAAAAGACAAAGAGATTGAAGAATTGTAACCATTCCAAAAAGTTGAGATATTTTGGGTCATTTTCATAAGTCTAATTTTCCTGAGATAGATTAAATAATCTATTAAATAATTTATTTAATAGATTAAATAAATAAACTTTAATGAAAGGGTAATTTTTTAAGATTGGATTTACTAATTGTATTGGTAACATAACTTCAATGCAGTTGTGAAATATGTTAAGGCTGGCTAGTTTAATAATGTATAGGTCAGTCAGGTTAGCAAATGGTATTTGTATAATGTGCTATAAGAATGCATGGAATTTATATTTAGTACTCAAAGCTGCACCAATGAGTTGCACTACCTTTTGAAAGTATCATTCAGGATTAGAACACAATCATGCTGTTAGTTCATTCATGTGGGAAGAACCTAGTTCTGTCATCTGGAAGCTTCACAATTCACCTTCCGACTCTAAAACAGTTGAAATATTTCAAGACAAAAATCAACGTCAAGTGTGATTAATGTAATCATTGTTCTTCTGACAAACATGTCTCTGTGCTCTTCTATTCTTGTGCTGTTGATTACAGCTGTTATAATTGTACTTAATGATGGCTAATGACTGAAATAGCGTTTAGAATAATAGGACATTAAAGCAAGGCTATGCGCTGTTCACTTCTTTCTGTTAAAAAGACCTTTCACAATGGTGAGAGCATAAAAGACCAACTAAATACTGTTGCTTGCATGCAAAAGTTGCTTTCTTGCAATCCAATGAAGTGCGAGCCTTGTAACATAAGGAAAAGGGAATATCACATTGGAAGAAGAAGAAGAAGAAGAAGAAGAAGAAGAAGAAGAAGAAGAAGAAGAAGAAGAAGAAGAAGACGACAACAAATTGAAAAGAAAACCCAACTTGGTTTCCTTTTAAGGACTAAAATCAAAGTTATGTTTGAAATTGATGGCATTGGAGAACAAGCTTACGTCAGGACATTAGAAACACTTTAGCTTTAAGTCTCATTAAACCTGGGCGAATGCGAAAAGCTTCTTGGCAACCTAATTAATCATTGCAGTATTCTTGGGAGGTGTTATTCACTACTGAATAGCTTGTTTTCTATTCCCTGATTTTGATCTGCTTAAGGACCAGTTTGCTAAGTATATCGCTGGGTGGTTGCAGTGTGTCCAAGGGTACCCTTCTCAATTGAAAAGTGGAGGAGTTACAAACCTTTATAAGAACAGGAGGGTGGATGTGTTCAGAATACAGACAATATATTTAATGTCCACCCCGCTTAGTGTCTTTGGCCACGCTGTGACGTTCTGGGGTGTTAGATGTTCATGAGCATTTTCTCCATTGGTGTCAGGATGATTGGTGATAAAAATTCTGAAGTCTGCAGAGCACAGCTCCTGGTGTTTCAGCTCTAGACGAACTTTCTGGTTTGTATACAGTAGCAAATGCCTTGTTTGGGCGAAACTGATTAAAATGACACCATTGTGCCCTCAACTGCAGTTCAGTTGCCTAATCACTTGCTTAGTGTCATAATAAATTGTATGAAAGCTGGAGAGAGTTAAGCAAACAGTCTTCCCTGTTCATGCAGCTGTGCTTTTCCCTGTGCTGTGCTGAGGACATACAGCGCACATTTAGTGGTGAAATTCAGGATTACTGAA